AAAATAAATCTTTAAAAAAGAAAAAAAGACAGAGATGGTAAGATAGGATTTTTTTTTAAGATTATTTATTTATACAAGCACTGGGTACAGTCAGAAGGGCGGGAGGGTGAGAGGATTCACCAGAGCCAGAGCAGGGAACAGAACAGGCAGAGTGACGAAATACACTGCTGTGGGGGAGCAGCAGGCGCGGCAGGAGAGGTCTGTGCGCCATGTGGGACACTCACCGGTGGCCGGGGATCGAACCAGCGCTGCAGAGGCTGCGGGCAGCTTCACAGCCCAGCGCTCAACCACTGCGCCACCAGGGGAGGCCCAACATAGGATTTTTTAAAAACAGGTGACAACTATATGCTGCCTAGAAAAACCCCACTGTAATTAGGAAAGAGAGAGAGGAAAAGAAAAGGTGTGCATAGGTTAAAAGTAAAGGATGGGAAAAGACACACCACACCAATGCTGGTCAATAGAAAGCTGGAGGGGCCATGCTTAAGTCAAAATGAATTTCAGAGCAAATCAGGGACATTTCCAAACTATAAAGGCATCTGTGAAAAGGACACAACATTGCTGTAACAGATCGTCCAGATACATGAGGCAAATACAGTCTGAAGCACAAGAAAAAGAAGACAAAGCACAATTACAACCCAAAAGCTCAAGCCCTCGCTCCCTAAGGGATAGAATAAGTAGCTAGAAAATCTGTAAGAAGATTGAGCAGCACTTTCAACCAACTCGGCCTGGTCGACATGTCCTAGAACATGCCCCTCAACCATGGCATCATGGGCCTTCAAAGTTGGGGTGTTACCTGGGTCCAGATGGGTGGAATGTCAAGGGCAGGGGAGGAGCCTGGGGAGGAAGCATCGACAGACACCAAGCCTTCCAAGGGCTGCGCATGCAGCCACTCCAACCTTTAGGGGTTGGGAAGAGGAGAAGGATCCAGCAAAAGGGGACAGAGAAGGAGTGAGGCTATGAGGAGGGCCAGGAGAGGCCACCAAAAGTCAGGTAAAGGGAGGGTGTGCCTGCGGTCACAATGCTGCCCAGTGGTCAAGCAAGATGAGGATTCGGATAGGTGTCTGCCCCAGAAGTACAAAAACACCAAAACAAAGGGAAACCTGGACTCCGTATTTACTGCAACTCAATAGCCAAGATGTGGAAACAACCTAAGTGCTCCCAAACAGATGAATGGATCAGGAAGATGTGGTATTACACAACAATGGAATATTACTCAGAGACCAAAAAAAGATGAACTCATGCTATTTGCAGGAACATGGAGTTGGAAGGGATTATGCTCGGTGAAATAAGCCAGGAGGAGAAAGATGAATACAGGATGGTGTTGCATGAGGAATACAGAGAAACCGAAGAGTCAGACAAAGGCAACCTTTAAATTGAACCTTTGAAAATGTACCTAAGAACTGGGGATTGTGAGGGATGCAAGGGGAACCCTGTGGAATGCTGGAGGACCCTGGTGACTGCGCCTAAAGAGGGGAATCCTATACTGTCAAAATTAACAAGGATGTAAAATATGGTACTTGAATTAAAAAAAAAAAAAGACGAGGATGGAGAACTGGTCCCTGGACTTGGCCACGTGGCGGCCTCAGTGGCCTGGACAGGAGCACGCGCCCTGGAATGTGGAGGTCAGTATGTGCAAGGCCTGGATGCAGGGCAGTCCCCGTGCACACTGATTTTCAAGGAATTTTGCAACAAAGGGCAGGGAAGTGCTGGAGAGGCACTGACAGGGACAGTCCACGAGGGAAAATTTGAGAGCATGGGGAGAATTTCAGAGGTGATGTCCTTATGGGCAGGGAGCGGTAGCCTTGCTGGGGACACTGTCCTTAGACAAGAGGAAGAGCCAGGTATCTCCAGGGTGTACCCAGGAGAGAGGCCATGACTTGTCTGTCCTTCTGAGGACAGACTTCTGCCCCTTTCTGGGGGGGCGGTGGGATGGCTGTTCCTCCGGGCACCGCCACTGCTTGCTCTGTGACCCGGGACAGGCACCCCGGTGACCTTGGGAAGGTGCGTCTGGTGGAAGCAAAGAGATGGTGGGGCAGTGGGCTGGGGAGGGGTCCTCCCTGCCCCTCCCCCGCACCCAGCCAGTCTCAAAACCTCCAGGAGCAGGATTTGGACCCAGCCTCACCCTGAGCCCACTTAGCAAGGAACGCAGACAGCAAACAAGGTGGGACTTGGGAGAAGCTTGGTCTGAAAGCGCCGGGAGGGGTATTGGGTGGAGGCGGGTAGCCCAGGCGGCAGTGGCCTGCACTGGCTGCCGTAGCGCGATCTGAACCCATGATGTGGCCTGTGCGGTGACAGGCCACCTCTGGCCCCTTCAGCACCCCGTTCCCGGGTGAGGCTTTGGAGTCACAGGCATTAACTGAGTATCCCTAGGGTACAGGCCCTGCGGGCGCTAGGAAGGAGCCAGTGCAATGAAGAATGGGGCCACAGACGAGTAGGAGAGTTCTGTGTGGAATTTGGAAGGAGAAGAGGGGGTCGCAGGTGCAGAGCCTGAAGGAGGGGGCCAGGGGCCTTCTGCTGAGTGACTCGGCCAGGACAGGGTCAGGAAAGGGAGCAGAAGAGGGAGGACGGGATGAGGCCCCATGCGTGGCTCCCAGCTCCAGACACAGGAGCCATCCAGGGCAGAGGGGTGGGGCATGTACAGCACCTCCTCCCTGCGGACAGTCATCAGCACTTTCTGCAAAACGACAAGTGCCCTAGCAGCCATCAGCCCCCCTCAACTTGCAACCAGTTCCTCTCCGTCCACCCACCCACACCAGTGGGAAGCAGATTCTCCTGTGGACAGGAGGGATCTGAGAGCCAAGCCAAGCAAGGGTGGGAGAGGCCAGGTTTGGGGGGCCCTCACCTGTACCTAGATCAGCTTGGGGAGCAGAGTCCTGTGGCAGGAGACCAAAGTGGCATCTCACAAGAAGCCCCCTTGCTTTTAGCCTGGGGCAGTGTAGCCAGCCCCACCAGGTAAGAGCTGAGAACACCACGTACAGCCACCATCAGGCTGCGCATGTTAAGCCCTTCAAGTGTCAGGACAGATGACCAGGGAACAGATGTGCGAGTACTTTGGGCCAAGGGCCTTGGAGTCTGGCTGTTCAGGTCCTTCTGCCGTCTACCCTCTCGGGAATAACAGACATTTTTAAATTTCAAGCCTAGATCATGAGTCTGCTTTCTGGTGCTCCTGCCTGGGTGCCAGGTGCGGATGTCTGCGTGGCTTGGATCCCTGCATGGCTGCATTTCCAGGCGGTGCTGACTCACGGTGCAGCCTGCAGGAAGCCTCCCCACTCCCAAAGCTGCTGCAAGTATGGTCCATGCAGAGTGCGCCAAACTGCACCTAGTACATTTCATCTCCATCTATTCCTGCCCCTAGGACTTCGGTGGATCCCTTAGCTCAGCATCCAGTATTAAAAAAGCACTTGATGGGCCTCCCCTGGTGGTGCAGCAGTTGAGCTGTAAGGCTGCCAGCAGCCTCTGCAGCACCGGTTTGTCCCCCCGCTGCCAGCGAGGGTCCCACAAAAAAAAAAAAAAAAAAAAAAAAAAGCTCTTGGTGTCACTCTTGGTGGTGTTATTATTCATTACTGTTAGGATCAAGCCCGACCTCATTACTTTATATTTTTCCAGGAAGAAGAGTTAGAGCTGTCTGGGCATGTCACACACAGGTGGGCTGCTGGAGAGCAGGAGGGGGGTATTGATCTATTGCCTCCTCCATTAGTTCCTTAAAGACAGAGTCATCTGATTAGTCTCCTCATCCCACAGCCCTTGGGGCTGGCATCCGGTGGCTGAGCTAAGATAAGCATATTGTATGTTTCAAAGTTTTCCAGAGATGATTTGGGGGAATCAAATCATACCATCATCCCATCCACCAATCAGGACTTGGCTCTCTGACTGTGCACTTTGATACAAAAATAACACCTTTGGTTTCCCTTCCTCCACTCAGTTTAAGAAGCAAGTTGTGACTTTCAAAGTTTTTTTATTAAAAAAAAACAAAAACCTGCCGTTTCTAAACCAACAAGGGGGGCAGTCTGGGCCTGTCCTTATGCTGCCTCCCGGGGGTGGGGGGGGTGGTCCCATCAGGTGGGAGCTGGGGGGAGCCTTGGCGGTAAGGTGCCCCACCTTGCTGGGCACCCAGGGAGCGAGGCCCACAGAAGGACAGTGCCAGCCCTAGCTGCTACTGTTCTAGGTGGGTGGTCTCACGTAGGTCTCCCCCCTGGTCCTCCAGTGACCTTGGGGGCAATGACTTTTGCCATTAGCAGCCTGGACCCACAGCAGCGTGGCCTTACCCTTCCCTTCGGCGCCATCTCCTGACTTTGCTTCTCGCAGGCCCTGCAGTCAGGGCGGCGGCCACCACGCTCAGGCCCCTCTGCCCTTGCAGAGGCCATTTCCTCTGATGGGAACGTCCTTGCCCACCTCCCTCTTACCAGCCTAGCAAGTGCTTCCCCCAGGTGCCTGGACACGTCCCTCGTCTCCTCACCCCCAGGCCTCATTTCCCTGTGTATATATCTCACAGCACATGCGTCATCACCGCACGGCAATCATTCATTCATTCATTCATTCATTCATTCAGGGCGAGAGCACAGGTACAGTGCTTAGCACAATGGTGGGCACAGATAAGTGCTTAAAAAAGTTCCCCCTTTATCACGAATATCATTCATTCACTCGATGTTTACTGAGTGTCTCAGGCTTTATGCAGTTCGCTGAGACCCCAGCGGTGAACTAGACGTTCGCAGCCCCTGACCATCCCCACTCCCACCCGCGCCTGAAGTCAAGCTCTCATCTCCAGCGTGGGCGGTGCGGCGGCTGCGGGCGCCGCCCGGCGCTGGGACTACAAGTCCCAGAGGGCGCCGCGGCGGCGGCGGCGGCGGGAGGCCTGCGCGCATGCGCGACGTGGGGGCGCCAGTGCGGCGGCGGGCGGGGCCGGCGGGGCGCTGCCTTTAGGGCGGAGCCGGCGCCCGCTCGCCTCAGTCGGCCGTGGGCAGCGGACGGTCCGGCTTCGGCTCCCGCGTCCCTCGCGCCCCTCGCGCCCGCCCGCTCTCGCGCCTTCGCGGTCTCCTCGCGTCCCTGCGGCCCGAGCGCGGCGCCATGTCGGAGCCCGGCGGCGGCGGCGGCGAGGACGGCTCGGCCGGCCTGGAGGTGTCGGCCGTGCAGAACGTGGCGGACGTGGCGGTGCTGCAGAAGCACCTGCGCAAGCTGGTGCCGCTGCTGCTGGAGGACGGCGGCGACGCGCCCGCCGCGCTGGAGGCGGCGCTGGAGGAGAAGAGCGCGCTGGAGCAGATGCGCAAGTTCCTGTCGGACCCGCAGGTCCACACGGTGCTGGTGGAGCGCTCCACGCTCAAAGGTGCGCGGCGGGCCGGGCCGCTTTGTCCGCGCCCAAGATGGCCGGGCGGGCGGCGGCCGCGCCGGTCACATGAGCGCGCGCTTTCGCGTCGCCGCGGCCGGCCGCGGGCAGGGTCGGGCGCGGCCACGCCCGGGGGATGCGGGCCCGGCCCGGGCGGCCGCGCCAAGGTCACGGCCGGACCCCCGCCCCGCCCCGCCCTGCCCCGCCCCGCGCGGCCGGCCCCGCAGGCCCCGGCCCGGGCGCGGGTGACAGCTGCCCGCTGGGTGTGGCCGCGACGCCGAGCCGCCCCCGGGGCTGCCGCGGCGCTGGGCCGCGCTCGGGCCGGGGCCTCGCCGCAGCCGCCGGCTCCTGCTGGGCTGCTGGGCTGTTGGCAGGGCCGCGAGTGGCCGGGCTGCTCCGCCCCGCAGACCCTCCTTCCTGGGCCCGAGAGGCCCCTGCCGCCGAGGCCGCTTCTCTCTCACTCCGGGCCCTGGAAGCCCCTCGCTGTGCTTTTCGCTCGCCGGCTCGCAGGGTGTGGTCGTGACCCGCGGGGTACTGTGCAGGCAGGATGGAAGCCCCGGACTGCCTCCGTCCAGGCGCCGCTCGGTGGCCTTTTGCCATCTCGTTGCGGTCATTTTCAATGAAAGGGCCTGTGTTTGTCATGTGCCCGTGTTCTTACAGCGTGGGTCATCGGCCCAGGGCTTTGTCCTTTTCCTGGGCGGGGACCGGGCTCCTGGACTGCAGCAGACCGGCTGCTCTAGGCCCCAGAGCAGCGGTGAGGCAGGCGGCCGGGGCGCGGTCAGGGAGCCCTTGGAGGGCAGGTGTGGGGAGTGGTTCCCGGCTCCGCGATTCTGGAGCGTCCTGCGGGGTGGGAGATGGTCCGTCTTGTGGAAAGGGCCGGCGGTCAAGCTGTGTCTCAGTCTGCCTTGTTTGTGTGCTTGAGTGGTCTGACCTTGGCTGTACGTGTTCGTTTTTTAATTGTGCAGTTTAGGCACCGAAAATAGGTGGTTTCCACCTTAGGTTTTAATTTTTTTATGGAAAAGCTTGGTAAGTTTCGTTTTTGTTTCCAGAGCACCCATTGGTATTCATCTTTCAGAAATCTTAGAATTTGAACTTCATTAAAATTACCGGGGCTAATTATTCTTAGCATGCTTTCTAGAACAAATCATCTCTCCTTTTCTTTGTGGTCAGATTATTTTCTCAGCACGTGAATGTGCAGGCATCTGGATCCTGGCTCCATAATGACTTGCACTTTTGAAAGTTGTCTGAGGAATGAGACAATCTAAAACTGAAATCCTATCTCATTCTTGTATTTATAAACTGGTGTGTGTCTGAATCCTTCAACGTGTCATATATTCCTCGTGCAGAAGTCTAAGGGGAGACTGACTTGTAAGCACCTGCTACATGAGCATGAATTGGGCGAAAGTCCCAGCCCAGGTCACTTGGTAGGAGGGCTTGCTTCCGAGTGATTATTAGGAGTTAATTTGACATATGTTTGTTTATTTATTTTAAAGATTTATGTATGCATCCAAGAGCTGGAGTGTAGGCCAGAGATGCAGGGGCGTGAGAGGATTCACCAGAGACAGAGTGAGGAGCAGAACAGGCAGATCCACTGAAATTCATTGCTGAGGGGAGCAGCGGGGAAACTGGAGAGGTCTAATGCGCCATGTGGGTCAACTCCTTGGGGGGGGGGGGTGTCGAACTCATGCCTCAGTGGCTGCCTATGGCGCCTAAACTTAACCCCTTGCGCCACCAGGGAGGCCGACATTTGTATATTTAATCAATTATGATCATCTAGTAAATTAAAGTGAAAAGGTAGAATTGCATGTTAATATGGAAAACAAATCTAAATTATTTAAGCTGAATAAGGACCACAGGCAACAGTGAAGTCGTATAATTTATCTAATGAACAGGGGAAAGTGCTTCAGTTTTCTCCCCCTCTTTTTTTAAGAAAGAATTTTCTGTGCTTGTTTCAGCAGCACAAATACTAAAATCAGAACAATATATTCATAGAAAGAATTTTCCAAAATCTTGTAATTGAATTCAGAATTCTCTTTAAACATGAAGGTCAATCTCTATATCAATTTTTAATTATCTCAGCTAATACAGACCTTTTTTTTTTTTTTTGGTCAAAGTATAACAGTCCTTAAAGTATAAAATAAAGGTTGCAAATTTAGCAGTGTATTTTGATGGTGAAGAATTAAAGAGTTGGCAGAAAGGGGAATGTTAAATTATTGTTCCTCATTGTAAAAAGAGAATGCCCCTTTTCTGTAATCCTTGGCCTAAAGGGAATTAATTTCTTCACGGTGTACTTGTGGAACCATGCCCAGTAGATGCTGGTCACAGGCATTTTGCTGATGGTTTTTTTGGTACTGCATTTTATGCACCAAAAGTGCGTTTGGGGCTGTTGAGTCCCGTGGAGAGGTTGGTGGGAACCGGGAATGGGCCGGGTGCTCCTGTGCTGCTGTTGGGGCTGGAGGTCCTGGAACTTGACTCTGAGCCCCAGCTAGTGACCTCTCGGTCGCTCTGGCCAGTTGGGATCGGATGCTTTTTGTTTTTTTTCACACCTTGGTCTCATAGCCTGGGCATTTGTCTCCAAGACTGAAGACAACCACTGCCTTTAGTCAATGGCTTCATTTAATCCCGCCTTCTAGCCTTTCCTGAGATTTGGGGTGTAGGCAATAGGGGTTTGCCATGGGACTCAGCTTACTGGAGAGAGTCACGGGGAATGTTTTTGTGGATTTAAAACTCTTTTCTGAGGGTGAAGAAACATAAAGGGTTGATGGCTAAAATGTATTCATCTGTCCTTGGCTTAGCCCCCCCCCCACCCCCCCCCCCCGCAGTGGTTCACAAAATGGTTAATGAGTGAATGGGAAGAGTTTTGTGACCTGGCACTATCTTGATGGTTTTGGAACACAAGACTAGGAGTCCCTGAACCTGGGTTCTGACGTCCTGTTGTGGCGCTCTGGGCAGGACAGCCCATCGCACCCGGGAGCCAGCCTGGCGCAGAGGTGTGGCTTTTGCTCAGGGAGGAAAGCAGCCAAGGCTTATTAATTAAAAAGTAAAGGTGGGAGGAGATTCTGTTCATCAGCATCATAGAGTATCAGGCTGGGAGCAGCGGGCAGGATAGAGTTAGTCTCGCCGCCTCTGCTGTGAGGAAGTCTGAAGGACCCAGTCAGTCAGGAAAAAAAAATGTTTTAAGGAAGAGCCTGAAATCTGAAAACGAATTTCTCTCTTCAATTCCTTGGTATCTGGGAAAAGAGTATTTGTTTTCATTTCATATCAGTTAAATCTTTTGTATTTGTACCAACCTTAAACAGTATTAAGTTCCTTGGGCATTAATAACTTTAGTTTTTTAATTCATTTTTTCCCCCTAAAGTAGCACAATGTGGCATTGACTGACTGTCTTCATGTTCCTAACAGTGTTGCAATTGGAAATCTTCAGGTTGCAGAGAAAACTGGGACTTTGTCCCCAAGGTCTCAGCTTTGCACTGGAGCAGGGAGTGGCCAAGGCAGAGAAGTCAGTTCTCCCTCAGAAGGCGGGAGAATGGACATGGGGATGGCAGGGGAAAAACTAAATAAAGCACTGCATGAGGGGACGGGGGCAGCAGTAGAGTGCTCCGCCAGAATGATGTGTTAGGGTGGTAGGGGTTTGAAAGGCCAAGATGAAAGCTAAGAGTCAGGAACATGTAATGAGCGACTTGGTGGTGTGGGGGGGCTAAAGGACAGGGCCTGCGGCCTTTGCTGGACTCGCAGTGACCTGCCCTGGCTGAGAGTGTGGCTAGACGAGCTTCTGGAGAGCGGGCGAGGGCACGGCCATGGAGCAGGCGCAGGGTGGCCTCCCGCTCCCATTTGCCAGTTTACCAGACGAATGAGAAAACCCCATCTAGTGAGGCCAGGAGGTGAGTCTTGGGGTAACTGAACGTGCATCCGTTATTTTAATACTTCATTAAACAAAGCATAACGCTCTAATTCACAGTGCAGCAGTGAGATCACCCAGAGCCTGAACTACGTCCAAGTCCTTAAACAGAAGTAGACAAAGATTAGTGCTAGATGACATTTTGAACATCTCTGGAAATTTGATAAACTCTAGCGTCCACCCCAGAAGTGCCCACAGGCTGCAGCCATGTGCAGGGGGACTTGCGGCAGCCGAGCTCCCAGGCCTCGGAGCCCTGCTCTGGGTGCTGCCTTTAGTGGACACTGTCAGCCACTTGTGACCAGGCGCTTTGGCAGCATCAGGACACTGATTCACACCTCACTGAAAGTGGTAACCCCTGATAAAACACTCGCTGTGTTGGGTGTGGCTTCTAGTTAGACAGGATTCCTAGCCTCTATTATTAAATTCCTCTGAAAATTTTTAAATGTTTCTGCAGAAGTAGACTGTTAAAATATTGTTATTTGGAAGATATTTGTTTATAACAATATACAGAGTGGCCAAAAGGTTAACTCATTTGATGGCAGTTTGTAAAGCAGTGTCTTGGCTTCCTTAACTTCATAACGGGGTGGGGGGGGGCGGAGGGAGCGGGGGTGATGCTCAAACTTCAATCCAAGATGTAGTCTGTGACTGATTAATAACGACTTCCGTAGTCATCCAAGGAAGTTAGAATCTGGCAGAGCAGCAGAGGGCACATCCCGCCTGCCTCCGTGTCGAGGGTTACGTCATGGGGTGTGCCTTCCTCAGCCCCAGCCTCTGCTGCATTGCAGTGTCCCTGGCGCAGCCCGGAGCCCAGCCAGTCCCTGGGCCGCCCGCCTTAGCAAAAGCAGGCACCGTGGCTGGATGCTGCTGTGGTTGCCGTGTTTTCTGTGTGATTTTATTTGTAGAGATGACTGAATCTACCTGAGTGGAAGAAATTATTCTGTTAGCATACCATATTTTGTTAATGTCAGTAATTTCCTTTGGTGATTTTAGAATGGTACTTTTATTTCCTATGTAGTATTTGGTTGTTTTTTCATGACATACTTTATATAAATCGTCGGCAGCATTATGGCCTCTTCAGAAAATTGAGACACGAGCCCTGCTAGGCCCCCGCCCTGCTAGCAGTGTTAGTTTGGGAATATTTCCTTGTGCCTCTTGTTCACGTGCTTGCAGTGGCAGATCGCAGCTGTGTGTGCTTGGTTCTGGGCAGTGTGACTTAGCTTGTGCTAAATCCTTGTTTCTGTTAGAAAGCAGTTGATTAATTTGTATCTCTGTGTTTAGTTATTTTTTTTTTTAAATATATTTATTTGTTTTTATTTATTTATACAAGCACTGGGTACAGTCAGAAGCGCGGGAGGGTGAGAGAATTCACCAGAGCCAGAGCGGGGAGCAGAGCAGGCAGAAGGACTGAAGTACACTGCTGAGGGGAGCAGTGGGCGGCAGGAGAGGTCTGCGCGCCATGTGGGACTCTCCTCTGGCGGCCAGGGAGCAGCCGGGGATCGAACCGGCACTGCAGAGGCTGCGGGCAGCTTCGCAACCCAGCACTCAACCGCTGCGCCACCGGGGAGGCCCGTTTTAGTTATTTTTTAAAAAACAGCTAGAAAGTAGCTGGCATTCTAGAATGAATGCCTCCCTAAAATTATGCCAGTTTTGGAAGTTACATTCTTATAGAAGTACCAACCTTTTATACTTCCAGAATGAATTTTGTATTCGTCTCATCAAATATAAAATACTAATTAAAACGAATGAGGCAAATAGCTTTTGATCTAACCCTGTACTCCCAGACTTCATAATTTTTGGTATTTAAAGAAACCTTATAGACCTAATTCAGTGTCCTACCTGTTTTACATATCACGAATTTTACATATCCCAGAGGAAGAAAAATGAATTTCCCAGGGTCTCTCTGTAAGTCTGCTGTCTTCAAGGGAAGCAGCTGCACCTAGTGTTTTCGGGCAGCCCTCAGTCATTTTTGCGAATGCAGCTATTCCATGTGGTGTGACACTGCAAAGACAATCTGAGTAGGTTTTGGCATCTAGTGGGTTAGTACTAGATCTAGAAATTTGCGTTATTTTCCATTCTCGCAACATTTTTGTTTGAAATTTTCAATTTTGATTTTTAACTCTTTGGAAACTTGGTTTGTTTGCACCCTGCGCTTCCTGGCTGTTATGCGCCAGCGAGCTTTCAAAGACTACTGCGCAGGGGCTTGCTGCATGGACACCACAGGGCCCGCCTCCGAGGGTTCAGTGGGGTGGTTGCTGCTGTCCTACAGGCCGCTGGTGCTAGGAGAGCAGACGGAGGCCGCGACCTTTGGATCACAGGCTTCCGAATCCTCCCTTGGACCTTTTCCACCTCCTGTCTGGGGGCTGTTTCTCACCTTCCTTACCTGGGAAAGTAGGGACTTAGTGGCGCCAAGCCCTTAGCGCTGTCCTCAGGGCCAGAGGAATGAATGACAAATTCTTAGTAAAATGCCTATCTCATGCTAAGACTTCTGTGCTTGGAGCAGAGGTTCCTCCTGGGACGGAGCAGGGAGTACTGGCTACGAGGCACTGCGCTGCACCTTCTGGGCCGGGCCCTGGCTGTGCCGGTGCATTCTGACTTGCAGACCGGGAAATGAGACACAGACGCTAACGACTTTGCCCAGGACCAGGCAGACAAGTGCCTCATCACAGGTCAGGGGAAATGGTCGGAGGGCAAACTAGATGGGCCACGTGGCAGGAGTTTCAGTGTCAGATTGGAGTGGGCTGAGGCCAGTCTCTCACACTTGGTTTATTAAAAATGCCATGAATTTGTTTTTTTTAATTATTTATACAAGAACGGGGTACAGGCCAGATGTGTGGGCGGATAAGAGGATTCACCACAGTTAGAGCAGGAAGCAGAACAGGCAGACTGATGAAATACACTGCTGAGGGGAGCAGCGGGTGAGACAGGAGAGTTCTGCTCACCATGTGGGTAGCTCCGAGGTTGACAGGGATCGAACTGGCACTGCAGAGGCTGTGGACAGCTTCACAGTGTGGTGCTCAACCGCCTACGCCACCACCAGGGAGGCCTAACACCGCTGTGAATTTGATCAAGTATTTATTGATTTGTAGAGGACGTTGGTGATGAAGGAGAAGAGGAGAAGGAATTCATTTCCTATAACATCAACATCGACATTCACTATGGAGTGAAGTCCAACAGGTGAGTGTGCAAGTGCGTAGTCCCACCACTCCCCTGTGGGGATCCACTGGCAGTCGCGGCCCTTCAGCCCAGACATTAAGAAAACACTCAAAAGATGTCTGCTCTTTAAATTCAGTATGTTATCTTTGATTTCATGTGTTCAAATTAAAAGGATTCTGAGTCGATGTAAAATGTAAAGTATGTTTATTGCCACACCACAGCAACCTTGTTGGATTTGAGTCCGTGTACTTGACATGGCTGATGGTGCTGGCAGGTTGGTCTGGATTTCTACTACTCTCATAACGGGAAGCCTTCTTAGCATTCTTTTCAGGATAAATCCCGGAAGGTAGTGGTACTGGTTCAGAGACAGTGCAGCATTAAAGCTTTTTTTTTTTTTTTTTTTTTTTTTTTTTTTTATTTTATAGAGGCATGTTTTATTTATTTATTTATTTGTTTGTTCATTTGTTTGTTTATACATGCACTGGGTACAGTCAGAAGCGCGGGAGGGCGAGAGAATTCACCAGAGCCAGAGCGGGGAGCAGAACAGGCAGAAGGACCGAAGTACACTGCTGAGGGGAGCAGCGGGTGGCAGGAGAGGTCTGCGCACCATGTGGGACCCTCCTCCGGTGGCCGGGGAGCAGCCGGGAATCGAACCGGCGCCGCAGAGGCTGCGGGCAGCTTCGCAACCCAGCGCTCTACCGCTGCGCCACCGGGGAGGCCCCGCATTAAAGCTTTTAATGTATATTACCACTTCCCCACCTTCCAGAAAAGTTGTGCCAGTTTACACTCCTGTGACATATCTGAATTTATTTATTTTTTTTTTTTAGAGGCATGTTTTTATTTATTTTATTTGTTTGCTTTGTTTATACATGCACTGGGTACAGTCAGAAGCCCGGGAGGGTGAGAGAATTCACCAGAGCCAGAGCGGGGAACAGAGCAGGCAGAAGGACCGAAGTACACTGCTGAGGGGAGCAGCGGGCAGCAGGAGAGGTCTGCGCGCCATGTGGGACCCTCCTCAGGTGGCCGGGGAGCAGCCGGGGATCGAACCTGTGCCGCGAGGCTGCAGGCAGCTTCGCAACCCAGCGCTCAACCTCTGCGCCACCGGGGAGGCCCACATATCTGAATTTAAATACTGTAAATGTTATCATTGAATCTGCATTGGCTTTCTTACACTTTATAATAAGTAGGTTTGCAGTTTACAAAAGAGTTGCCTGAATAGCAAATAGAACTCCAGGTATCAATTAGCATTTGCTACATTCACATAGTATTTTTCCTGAATCATTTGAGTGTTAGTTATGACAGCACACCCCTTTGCCCAAAATACTTCAGTATCTTTCTTTAGAACAAGAACATTCCTGTTGATGGCCTCAGAATAATTTTCAGATGCAGGAAGCAGTGGGGTATGTTGCTATAGGCATAGATGTGCTTGATTATCTCAGTAGTGTCACTGATAGTCATCACACGTGACCGGCACCCAGCGGTCACCGCTGGTTTCCTGTCTCTACTTCAGCCTTTCTGTGTCTGTCATGGCGTTGCTCGATAAGTTCAGACCAGTGATCTTAGGCAACATCCTTCGATTGGGTTTGTCTGGTATTTTTCCTTGATTAGATTCAGCTGTGCATTCTGGGCAGCACTGCTGTTGGGACTGTTCCTTCTCAGCGTAGTTCATCAGTAAGCTCCATCACTCTCTAGAAAATATGAAGTATTGTGTATAAAGTACTCGCCTGGGAATTAGAAAATCCAAACACTAGTTTTCTGCACCTGTTCTGTGTGAGAAACGGCAGTAGGTATGCAGAGAAGTAAAACCAGGCAAAGAAGCTTGTGGCCTTGGGGGAATGAAGACCAGCAGATAGGCAACTAAGTATAATACT